ATCTGGAAATTCAATTTTTGACTTTAAAAAATTGTATATATCACGAATACAATCAACAAATTAGACTAATTTTTAGAAAAACCCTTCAACTAGAAAATATATGTTGAAAGATTTGCTTATTTTTCCCTATTTCTTACTCTTGAATTGAGTATTTTCATTTCTTAAGGTTGACTATTGGAAAAAGGAGGTTGTCCTCTTATTACACATAAATCTGTTAATTTGATTGGTTTCTATGAGCAATACATCTCAATCTTATCGATAATTACATAACTGTAGAGAGAAATTCTGTAAAAATCTTTTAGCTACCTTCAAGATAGTTTCGGACTAATGAAATAACGATGGGTGATACCAAACACATTACTTATAAAAACTTCGTCAAATTTTTACAAATTGACAGAGATCATGAGTCAATTGAAGCTGGATCACCATGGAAAACCTGGAATCACCGGACGGCCGTTTCGTCCTATTGTGGAACTCCTCAGCATCCACAAAACCCCTTCTGATAATGGTGACTGGCTTCAAGAGATACTCCTGGAGTTCTAGTGAGAAGCAGTAACCAGTGGAATTCAACCAGGTCTGTTGTGAGATATCAGCTCACTGAAGACAATAGTGTACGGTGGCGCAATTTCGTGCATTGGTTGAAGTTAGGCATTAACTCCATTGGATTCCGGCTCAGTGGTCTAATGGCTAAGCATTAGCGCGCGAGACTGATATGTGCTGGGTTCGAATCTTGCGAGGGGCAGGATCGTGGATGCGCATTGCTGACGAGTCACACAATAGGACGAAACGGCCGTCCAGTGCTTCCAGATTTTCCATGGTGGTCTAGCTTCAATTGATTCATGATCTCAACTAATGAAGTTACTATAATCTCCACAAAACCCCTTCTGATATTGACAGAGAATTTATTATTTAAGAATTAGTGATTAATGTTCTTTATTTCAGGCATATTTACAGACTCGAGGATACTTTATAAGTTTATTTATCATTTTTCATATCTCTTTTCTCAATGTGAAATAAAGTGAATTTTAAAGATAGTAATGTAATTCATCAAATATAGGCTTATGTAATTGAATTTCTGATACAATTTTTATCTGTGTAGATTAGAGATGCTACCTATGTGCCAGAATCAAAACAGATAAGGCTGAATTCAAACTGTTAGGATTGAGTGGATTTACTTATGGTAAAAACATTTTTAACATCCTATAATATGGATGTCAGTAGCTCTTTAGAGCTCAACTGGTGTGATTTGAAATAAACGTGAAACTCGTAGTGATATTATAAGTAACAATTAACATATTATTATGATCACAGTTATTATCCACGAGCAGAAGATAGAAGTTTCATCATACTAGAGTTTGTATTCAATTAGTCTTGACTACTTGATATAATATATCAGTAGTTTAGAATAAATACACAGACCAGTAAAGTTAGTGGCCTAAATTTTCAAGATTTTTACTGTCTAATACCTATGGGTTTTGACTTTGAAAAATTACGACACTGAGAGGTTCTGTTTGCTTATTAGTTAGCACCTTTTAAATTATTTTTTTTTGGAGATCATTTGTATAAAGAAATATAAAAGTATTGAAACTGAGTACCACAGTGGGATTTAGTTCTCGTATGAGACTTCTTAAACATAAAGATATATAATCCTTCAAGACATTGGGGTGAGGACTTTAGGTTTCACGACTTGTTGTGACTTGCAGAGTCCATATATTAGAAAGAAAGGTAGCTATCCACCGATGGAATAGGATAATAATTGGCCAATGAGACGAACTAACAAAAGTTCAAAACTGTAGATTAGTACAAATCTAACTGCAAGGGTTTAGATTTTTCAGTTGTTGATGTTAAAGACTGAGATTAATCCGTCACTTTTAAAAATTATGCATCCTGAACAGATTATCTTGATATTATCATCAATGTGGACCCAATAACTGAGTGAATAACGCTTTGGATTTGAATGGAAATATACTGGTTTTGAGTCCTTATGTGAACATCAACAGTGAGATGGAGTTATATATAGTAGACCAGACGTACACTTTAAATTCCACTGTTAGTCAAAATCCGAATCTGCTTAAAAAGATCGGTTACAATTTAATGGGAAAGATGTATCCCACTCGCTACAAGACTACGAGCCTGATTTTATATGATATTAATAATATTTTCCCTTGGGGAATATTGTAAAATAAAGTGTTTATTATTTCGTCAAAGCAGTTAAAAACTGTAGTCAGTTTACATTAAAATTCAATTTTAAATAAAATAAAACCTCTGCGAACAAGATAAATAGATACAGTTTTTTTATTCATTCTAAAATATGAATTTTATAAGCAAAGATGGATACTGGCTAGCAGTGGAGTGAACATCAACTCTGCGATGCAGACACATCTAGCTGACGAGTCCCAACTAGAACAAAACATGCGTCTTGGATTCCACTGCTAGCTACTATCCATTTTTGCTTAAAAAGCTTGTGACTTAAGGTAATATCGAGGCCATCCGCACAAGATGCATATATGCCCACATGAGACAGACTAATTGAAGTCCTAAATAACAATAGGAAGATAAAAGTAAAACAACACCAAGTGAATTTGAACTTTATAAGTTTGTTTTTATCCGATGAAATGGATGAATAAATCCAACGTTAGAGTCTACTTGATCAAATTGTAGGATAGGATTTTTTTATTTATCCCCTTTTTTGAACTTTCAGTCTTTTCAATCATAAAATCTTTTATTTTCTTATTTCAATAGTCAAATATCTGACATGAATTTAATTTTAGGGAAATTAATTTACAAGAAATTACATTAAGAGGAATTGTAGTGAACAAGAACACAAATGCGGACAATCAAATGTATTTGACATGAAATTACAGAGCATCTCACTACAATCTGAGAACCATATAGTAAATAGTTAATTTGCAAAATATCAATCCATCGTCTCAAACTTGACTGTTCCTTTTGCTCATATCAGTCTATTGTCTTAGATTTCATTGTTCATGCATTTTCATACCGATTGCCTTCCGTTCCCGTTCTTTCCTTATCGATCTTCTACTGAAATACATTCTATGCCTGACCAAAATTATATATTACTTATATGGATATAAGTAATCCACACCACAATATGTGTACAATAAATGAAATATTAAAATTTTTTTGTAATTTTAAAAAGGAAGGGAAATTAGTTGAAGTATTACACAAGAATGGATTCTTTTATTGATTTTTCATTTACTTATAAATATTTAACAATCTCAAGGATATAAAACTTTGATGGAAGTTTACTATTTTCTCTTATATAAAGAAAATGAACTTATTGTTTTAATTTATACTTGCTCTAATTGTTATGGTACCACATAGTGATCATAGTTAACTATTAAAAATAAAGACTGTACAGATGTTTTTTTTCTTCCGAACATGAGACTGTGCAACCATGAGCATTCACAACCTTACAGGAGAATAGAAACTGGGACATTTTAGGCTTAATGTTAAGATAGTGTAATAAGAAGACGATTATTAGAACTATATGACATTTTATTTTTATATATAAATGTTCTTAACAAGTATATATGTGATCAGATTGTTCGAAATGTATTGGGCTAATATATTACATAGTTCTGATAATCTTGGTTTTCTCATTGCACTATTTAAATTTATCAAAGGAACTAGTTGTTTTTATGGTAAGAGCTTAACCTTCAGATCATTCAGTCATCATCTAATTGTTTATATGTCTAAATTCAATCAACTCATGATAAAACACAACCATCTTTTAATGTTAATGGTGCGTGGTTATCTCATTCCCGATATAGTTAAACTGGACTAATCACAGATTCTCATTAGAACTCTTACTAGTATAGCTAGTGGCTAGTCTGGCTTCACGAAGCATAGAGATTTCATATGATAATTTTAAATGCCGGTCGATAATAAAACTTTGTCTATTATTTGTAACATAACTTACACTATAGAGATTATTCATTGTTTTATTGTTTGTTTTAATCTTCCCATTGATGTTTAGGACTGTAATAGATCAGTCTCTTATTGATGTCTGTGCATCCAGTACGGGCTGCTTCGATGTTGCTTTAAGTCAAAAGTATTATAAGCGACTATCTGGACTAGTTAGCTAAGTGGAGAGCGTGATGGAGTTTGAAGTGAACGATACTGGGTCCGAGTCTCAGAGTGAACACCAACTGTGGGTTGTAGGTACATCCAACTGGCGAGTCCCAAATAGGATGAAACGTCCATTCTGGATTTTATTGCCAGCCACCATTCATCTTTGCATATAACTATAGAGATTGGTTTAAATGACTTAAGATGATCTTGAGAATCTATTAGATCACTTTTGTTTAGTCAGAAACAGGTGATGAAAGTTATTACTTGTTGTTAGAAAACAAATAAAACTGAATAGTATGTACAGTTTCGATACACTTATTACATTTCTCTCTCCCTCAAGGTGTTATGTATATAAATTGATTCTTATGGTTGTGAATTATTTGTGAACCGTTATATTATACATGTATACACGTTTTCAGTGTGAACTTTTCAATAAGATTTTAAAAATGATGTCTACAAATAACTACTTTGTGATAATATATAAATCTGTGAGGTTATTTGTACACTTTTCAATTGTTCTCATACAAAGGTTTTTCCAGTTAAACATGCTTCTTGGATAATTTCTGGTTAAGAACTTTCATAAGCTGACCTTTCTGAACCATTTTATCTTATATTTCAAAGACCCGCTTCAATTAGAATAGTAAACTACCCATTTATTTTACTTTTACGTTCCATTCTCTTCCGTTGGTTATTCATTATTTGGCCGTTAGTTCGTAGTTTATTACAATGTCATCTTTAAAACTATTCACAACTGGATCGATAATACACATCTGCTTTGTTATAGAGATCATGACCATTAAATCGCTATCTTAAGCTTGATATATGGGTTTATCAGAAAGACTTATTTGATCTTATTTTTGTAAATTGTTTATTACTTCACGATTTATTTTTATTTTACTTTTTAGGAAATTCAGCTGAATCATTCATCACAGAAAATCATTCCTACAATTTATTCCTTCATTTTGATCAATTATCCCTATTACAACGGTATAGAAGATTAATTTAAATACTAATGAATTTGTATAAATTTTCAATTTATTCATTATTGACAAATTTGCATTCAATCACTTTAATTGTCATATTTTGTACATTTTTACTACCAACTAATGAGATTGGTTTTCGTGGTCCAGTTGATAGTAATATATTTGCTGAAATTGAAGGTGATGCACCCAATTCATCAATATGTCGACGTATGTTTAGTAATTTTACAGAACCAGAAATTCGTTGTTTAATTGCTAAACATTTTCCTGGATGTCAATTTGATTCAGGATTTTTTCAATATTTAGTATTTCAATATTGTAATTTTGATGAACGTATAGCTCCAACAGTATTTATGGTAAGTTTTAGTGAAAAACAAATAAAAAAATATTTTTCTTACTAAATATGCTTTGATTTTCATAGTTATTGTTATATTTGGTCGTCGCTGATTGTTGTGCTGGAAAAACGCTGATCACTTATACTCGGAACGAGAGACCTCTGCAATTCTCACGATGCGAAAGTAAGAACACAAAGACTGGTATAAGTGAAGATTTATTAGCCCCAGAACACTATGACAACGACGACGAATAAAAATAGTCTAAAATACACTGGTTTATATACTGATTGTACACCCATTTTGATTAATAATTAGGATTGAATCACATACTCAGTTATAACAAATTGCTTACTGAGCATAGTTTATGTCAAGTGAATACAAGAATATCGTATCTTATACAGAATAAAATATCATACTGGGAAAACAACTAAACACTCCACTGAATGATCCTCACGTTGAATCAAAACCTATGAAATTTCTAAAAAACTCTCCACAAAACCCATTCTCAAAACGGAAGTAATGTTGAATAAAACTCATAATGGGTAATTCAATCGAAGATTGACTTTTCTTTTCATCATATCAGTTGTAAAGAGTTAGAATGCATATGTCAAACTTAGATGAGTAAGAATTAATCAATCTCTGAGGTAGTTGTTTCAATTAAATTGAAAATGACTTAGTCACTCTGATGTTAGTGTTTGAACATGAAACGACATATTTACATCCAAGTTATTCTATTCAAAATATATTTGTAACAAATGTCAGTCTGTTCTAATCTTGAAATAACTAATCTTTTGGAGAGTTAACTTAAACCAGATGTTTCACAGGTTGAAATCATGAGTCAGTTCACACGTTGAAATCATGAGTCAGTTGAAGCTAGACCACCATTGAAAACCAGATGATTATTTATGTTAACCAATAACGAAGACTTTTTGATTTCATATATTGTAAAACATTTCATATTTATCTGATTATTTCGCGTTTTAACCTACATAATTTGTTTAATGAGTGTGCTAATTGAAGTATTGAATGCTATGATGAAGAAAGGAGATCTCTCTTTGGGAATTGATGAAATGTTGAGGAATTTTTATGTAGATAACTTATTAAAGAAAATAATTCATCTGAAGAGTAGAGGAACATCAAGAGTCTCAGTGATGATTATGAAGGCTACAAGAATGATGCAAACCCAATATGGTCGTTTACTTTATACGCTAATAATGAAACCAAGCATGCATAGTACCATATTGTTTTCGATAGGTAATTCATTATTCTGATAGCAATTGACGAACTAAATTTAAGAAAATCGTTTGTAAGATTCTAGCAAAATATAAAATAATTAGATATTGGAAATTTGACTTTTGTAAATTTTTAGGTATATTTGCAACAATGTAAAGAAAGGTGAAATAACTATACTGTCACAAATTGGGAGTGTTGCGTAAATGATAAGATTAATGTACTCTTAACCTTGTAGAATAAAGTTGTTGTGATCTCAGTTTAGGCATTGCAATAAAGAGACTATGTACTTGTAACGTTTGATTAATGAATTAACCGTTGAATACACAAGTGTCTTTGATTAGTTTATCAATAAATGTTTATCACTTTTAATATTGCCACAGTTCTAAGTCACTTTCTATTTGAGTAGTTCTTCTAATCACTTGCTTAAGGTAAAAGTATTCTTTTGAGGTGCGGAGAGTTTTTTGATATATAACTATTATTTGAAGGTATACTTTAAATGTTACCTAATTGAATTCGGATAAAAGTGTTTTCGTCCTAATTTAGTTTATATTGAAAGTATCTTAAACGAAAATAATGAAAGTTATGTTTTGTTTAACTCAATATATTTATTTTGTAATAGTCTAGCCAGAATGACCGAGGTGATTGGATTGAAAGATTTCTTCACAGGACTTATCTTGCAAATCCTAATCTAAGTTAATGCAAATAAACGGAATCACTGGACAACCGACAGAATATGTTATTGGGACAAATAAAACTGTCATGTATCAACATGTACATATTCAATCAGAATAGCATAATTAAGAGTTAGTAAATAAATAATATCTGAATATTCAAGGAGGTAAGAAGTTACAGAATATCCAGTAACTCTCATAACTCTCTGTTGTATGCCAATGAAAGATGTACGCCTGAGCGTCTTGAAAAAGTATAAGCGATTCGAGAACAGGATAAGAAAAAAGTGGAGTTTTAAATATTTTAAAGTCCAAAATATGGAGAAAGACCAAATGATACAAATAAATGAAGTTACTGACAGTAGTGAGGGGGTGATCTATGATGTTATATTGCGAATGAATGTCTCATTAGAGAGTTGTGTTCATTTGTATCTAATCCCCTTTAGGCTAGATGGTTTATTTGGAATCGTTAAATATGGTGAGGTATCAAAGTTTACTTAGGTCACCTGAAAAGCTAATGAAAGCCAAAAAGCATTGGACATATTTGTCGTCAGTTTTGAGCGCCCACACGTTTGCTGGAGAGTGAGTTAAGGAATTGAAATTTTACTCTCAACACGTTACTATAAAATCAATGAGTTGAAATCAAGTGGTTGAGAAAGCATTATCCATAGTTTTCAGTTATAGATATCTCACTATAGATATGGTAAAACACTAACATTTAACAGTTCTTATTAGAACTTTATGAATTTAGCCCAAATGAAATCTCTAGTGAGAATGCGATCACTGTTTTGGTAAGAGATTAATTAGGAACTGATTAGTTTTAAACTGCAAATGCAAACGATTGGATGCTGACTCACTGGTTTAAAATGTCAAGGGATCTCCATGAAACCTAAGAGTCCTCGGTACGATCTCCACTATGTTCATGAATGAATACTGTTGAAATATCCTATGGTAGGATGTAACAGATGTAGTGTTTTCAGCTTTTCAATGATTGTTTAACAGAAATTAGTCCATGTTATAAATCGTACAGTTTAAAGTTTGGTTTTGTTATGAAGCAACTTAACGAGAAGGGTCACTGAAAAATACAATACACAGGATAACTTTTTATTTTTATTTAAAACTTCAGATTACCTAAAAGCAATTTACAAAGGAAATAATTTCTTCACTTGGTATTGTTTGGCTTGTATCTTCCCATTGAGGTTTAAGACTGCAATTGATCAGACTGTTATTGGCATATGTGCATACTGTGCGTATGCCTCGATATTACCTTAATTCACGAGCTATTTGTAAGCAATGATGGATAGTGGCTAGCAGTGGAATCCAGGACGCGCGTTTCGTCCTATTTGGGACTCATCAGCTGGTTGTGCCTGCATCTTAAAGTTGATGTTCACTCTGGGACTCGAACCCAGTACCATTCGCTTCAAATGCCATCAGGTTATCCACTCAGCTATTGGGTGATGATAATATTCAATGGTTGAATTCAAAACGTTTATGTTTAATCTGATTTGATATAAGTAAGCTGTATCTAACCAAGTCTTCAATTATCACGATATTATGAAATAAACTAGAAAAAAATGATAGTAGTAGGTAAATTTTATCATTGTACATTTAATTTTATTTCAGTAGCATTTGTAAATTAATTTCTACATTCCATTGTTAGTCGTTACTATCAAAAGTCATTATAATAAGCACTCATTATGATAGTTAATTTACAGTAATGAAGTTATTTTATCTAGAATAAGCTGAAACAAGGAAAAAGCTACTATATTAATTCATCTTTGACAATTGTTAACAATTGTACAGTTGATCGTTACCTATGTATTTATAAATGCCTTGGTAAATTAAAATAAATGCAATAATAATAAATATTTACAGTGAATAGTTGCTTATTATCAGGAATTCATTATATTTGTACAAAAGATAATTTCAGTTAACAAACAGTATATTTTCATAATTTCCATCAAGGTCTGATCTTTGTTAGCCGTTTGTTAAAAACCAGAAAGCATTAGATTGCTGTTTCTTCCTAGTACGTTACGCCTCGACAGCGTAGATCCACAAATCAATTTGGGATTAAACCCCGGATACTAGGTCCCACACTTGAATACTTAGCCTCTAGCCTACTCAGAGAGATCCAGTGGTGTATATGTTTAACTTCAATCGGTTACGATATTGTGCGACTAGTTTTGATTACCTGAGCTGAATAACTGTCACATACTTGACATGGTTGAATTTCATTAGCCACGACTTCTCACTAAACCTCCAGGAATTGAACTTAGAAGTTAGTCATTAGGGAACACAGTATATTAATCGAAAATAAAATTAACTGGAATTTCTTCCTTATCTAAAATTTAAAAATCGATCATTAGTCATAGACTAATGATCGATTCTGGAACAGAACAGGTGTCTGATGTCCTTTAATTCTCATTTTTTAAATATCGTTCTGGAAATACCACCAATCTATGGTGACAAAATTATTGATTTAGGTTAACGTCCTCTCTGTGTGTGTAGGGAAATGGCCAAGAATCTTCGAGTAGTTCAGTTCCGGGATTCCCTTTCTAGCTGCTACAGAGCGGCATTACTGGTCTGATAGTGTTAAGTTCTCTTAGCTGCATAGTTTTATTGTCATTCTAGAAAATATCATCAGCACGTACTTCATGTAGAAGTAAACATTTTAGTTATTCAGTAACTCTTACATCAATCCGTTCTTGTAGCCCTGATGATGATTGATTATCCTCGTAAATTTCATTGTCCTCAACCGTTCTTTTATTCAAGTCGACTATTTTGCAACGTTTACCTTCTCTCTGGTTGTTAATCAGCCTTCATCGAACAGGTTGATAAATCGGGTCTAATTCGACTTGTTTATTGATTACTAGTCAGGGTTCATAGTTTTAATGTCTAACTCCAACTCTTGGTGCCATATGTTATTTAGTTTGATGCTTGTCTTCTTACTTTGAGGATACAATGATAGAGTTTATCTTGTAATGCAGTTTGATGATTTCTTTATAGCGAGTTCTATCCACCTTCAGAGTCACTTCCCAACTCCTGTCTCTGCTAGTAGCTTGTTTGTTCCTTGTCACAGTAGATTATTACCGATGGTCTTTGGTCAAAGGAGCTAGAATG